TGCGCCTGTATACAAAGGCACCGCCGGACGAAACCGAGCCCTGGCCTTCAGCAGAGGCAACTGTTTACTGTAAAGAATGGTTGTTTGCCGTCCGAGGGACAAGGAAGAAACAAGGCTTCGTAAATGGGACTCGTGCGCCAACTAGGTCAAAAGGCCTACGTATGGGAGGGTCTGCACTCTGGAGTAGTGAGGAGTGTGTGTGTGGGGACTGGGGGGGTGAGGGGAACTTACAGCGCTCCTGGCAGCTCCTGAGAAAGGAATTTCACAAGCTTGGTCAACCCTTTCTTTGCAATTTCACGGATAATACCCGTAATAATTCGCTCAATCCATTGCTATTTTAAGCTTCGGTTACCCCTTCTAACTTATGTCTCGTGTTGTTTCCTTTAATTTATCATAACCAACCATGTATGTGAAGGGTAAGATGTCTTCAGTGTACGCAGTACGAGTATAAATTAAAGAGAATGATTGGCGGACCTATCCTGTCAATATTTGACCTGAAAAGTCATGCCGGCAATTACCGATCCTTACTAAAATCGAATTGACAAGCTCTACTTCTCAGAAGAGGTATATAGTTCGTTTTTTTTTCAAAAGGACGCTGGCTCCAAGTTCCTCATCGAACCTCTCACGTGAGTTTTGGCAGCTTCAGCGTCTAGCCAAGAATTTCTTACCGAAAAAATATTCGATTTCAAATTGTGCACGGTAAGTACCCGGAAATTGTGTCTTGAAAAATTAGCATACTATGATGACGTCACTGGTGGCAGCAGGCACCCAATGTCCGTACGATGGGACAAAGTTTCGACGGTTTTGGGGGAAACTTCGTTTTTCACTGTTGCCGAGGTTATAATCGAGTAAGCGGTTTCGTCCATGATAGTTATACGTTACATTGCAATACAAGTTTGACAGCATGACGTCACCACTGTTCCCATATCTGGTTCCAAAATGCACGTATGAAAATTATTGGGAATATTTCACATGTTAAAATAAGGCGACGTTCGAGTTTCTCAGGTTCAGTTTTTGCTCGTTTTGGTCGCTAAAACGCATGCTTTTTCGAAAAACGTACTTGGAGCCAGAGTTCTTTTGAAAAAAAAAACGAATTATAATAACCAGTAAAACGCCTTTTGGGCGAAGAACGAGCGAGCGAGATAGTGAGCCCTGCACGTGCGGAAGGGCGAGAGGGTGCTTCCAACGGGCTTGCGCAAAGCACTCTTCTAACCGGTCGCTAGCGGTGTGCCAAATTTGAACGCAATCGGCCCAGCCGTTCCTGAGATCTGGAAGCGGCATTCTGCACGTGCGCACGTGCAAACGGGGTCCAAAATGACTTGTGCACGGCACCCTACTAACTGGTCTCCAACTGTGTACCAAATTTGAGCGCAATCGGCCCAGCCGCTCTCGAGATCTGGAAACGCCCCCTGCACGTGCGCACGTGCAGTAGCACCCTAACCGCAACACATGGGAATGCATTGCCTGGTGGGTGCCTACCTGTATGCCAAGTTTCAGCGAAATCGCCCCAGTAATTACCGAGTTACTGAAATGGGAACAAATTTGGCACCTCTTATTGTTGTATTTTGCACGTGCACTGGGGGTGACCCACATGCATGGAGAGTATCCTATTTTGGGTAGAAGGGATGCTGCTACCCTACAAAAATTACCGCAAGTCAATCGCCCAGGCGGCTGCTGAGATATGAGCCTCTCAAAATCACTACTTTTGCAAAACAGCTTGAACACCCTTGACTTTTCACGTGGCACGTGCCACGACGGTCACTGAGATGTATCAAAAGTAGTCAATTACGGGGTAGAAGGGATGGGGCTACCCAGCAAAAAAGACCGCAGGCCAATCGGTCCAGCGGTTGCTGAGATATAAGCCTCTCAAAAGCGTTACAGGCCGGGCCGGGCCGGGCCGGGCCGGGCCGCTCATACTGAGATTTTTCCGTTATATTGAAAAGACTCGCTTCGCTCGCTGCGCTCGCTCGCTCGTAATCAGTGAATTTAAAAGCTGTAACACATATCCCCTGCGGTCCTCGGCAGGGTATCTGCGCGCCCCCGTGCTCTCGTCTCGGTGGTCAGGGCCGGAGCTGCGGTCAGCGGATGGACCCTATCGGACCACACGGCTTCCGGGACAGCCCACCACTGTCCGGCAGGACGCGTGGGCATGATGGGACGTGGTTGGAAAGGCCCAGACCGATTGGCGACTGGGTGTAGAGGAAAACCGCCAGATATGGTGCACTTTTGCAGATAGAATATATCCTGAGAAACTCTGCTGAAAAGGTTTCCATTGCTGACAGAATTAGTTGTGCATTTAAAGGATCCTTGCAGCCTGGTAATCATTATACGGCAGGTAGGTAATAGCAGGGTAAATATATTTTAGGTGACTCGAAAAATGATAATGGAGGATTGAAATAAATTATCATCATACTCAAAGAAATAACAGGAGATGCTCTAACACTGTTAAAGGGACCCTCCTACCTTCAAAAAAGTTAATGAATTGGCATGAAAGTGATGTCGCTCGGTTCAGAAAGAGCAAAAACGAATATCTACCAAATTTCATCGAAAAATATTCACCGGTTTTCAAGATATTAGACTTTTACTTTTGTTTACTTTTTGGGATCTCCGCTGTTCCTAGCGACTTTATTTGAAAGTGCGGCATTTGTTGCGCGCAAAGCAGCATATACCACCGCGTGCTACAAAACGTTTTAGTCAAACATTTAACGGACGTTCGAAAGCCTGATGACGTCATCAGATTCCCGTGATGGTTAAGAGATAGGGACCACGCTGGTCCCACCCTGCAAGTAAAGGGAAGAAATTTCTTGAACACCATAAAGCTGCGGGGGTTACGACCAGGATAAATGGTGGTTTCTGAGCCTGGCCGCAAACTTGGCTATCTCAACTCAAAACTAATGTTAAGGTGGGAGGGTCCCTTTAACGTGAGTCTTTTACCATGCAAGTGTTACATATTCTCTAAGTGCTTTTCACAATTTGCTACTGCTATCCAGGGCATTACGCAGCTGCCGGCTGATAGCCATATTGTTGTATTTCAGGCACTGATAGCACACCGTTTATTTTACTCTTCCCGTTCTGTGAAGCATCCCACATGAGGTCCACCACTGGTCTAATAACACCGCCCCAGCGGCTGCCGAGCGCCCTGCGATATGTATCGGATGTCGCCGGCTGATGGTTGAATAGCGCCGCCCGATTGTGGTCGGATGATATGCAGCCGCACGCAGTGGCACAGCCTGTCTCCGATTACTGCGCCGTTCAGACACCCGATCTGTTCGGCAGAGAACACTGTGCGCTGCTGCAGTCAGGCAGGCGCCGTTAAAACGGCAGCTGCTGGCTAGCCGACTAGCTGACTGAGCACAGCTGATCAGCGGTAAGACAGCAGTCAGCTCACAGCGAGAGAGCTGACTGCTCACAGCGAGATAGCTGACTGCTCACAGCGAGAGAGCTGACTACTAACAGCTGACCAGCGGTGAGACAGCAGTCAGCTCACAGCGAGAGAGCCGGTCAGCGGCGAGACAGCTGACTGATTACTGCTTACCAGCGGCGAGACAGCGGTCAGCTCACAGCTAGACAGCGGTCGGCTCACAGCGAGTCAGCTGATTGATAACAGCTGGTCAGCGACGAGACAGTTGTCGGCTCACAGTCCTACAGCTGTCAGCTCACAATTGGCCAGCAGCAAGCCAGACAACTGTCGGCTCCGAGCTCACAGCCGCGGGGTCTGGGCAGCAGCATGGAGACAGCTGCAAATCGCGGCTCCGAGCAGTCCACTCTGCCGATAAACGTCTGCTCTTGGTTCCATCCGGCGGACGAAGGGCAGACGGCTCGGCTCGACACTACCGCGACAGTGCAGTGGACTTAGTACTGATCCAGTGCAGCAGGGAGCGTCCGTCAGTCGTTAATTCAGTGTCGCCTGCCTTTCACGGTCACCATTCGCGGTCTGGCCAGCATTGTTGGCAAGGTCTGCGTTGTTGGGAAAAATGCGGCTGATTCTGGGAGAAGCAGCCGCTTTTACCTTCTTTTGCTGGTGAGAGGTTGTTCGCTGCTGCTAAAGGCGAAAAAGGACCGAGGGAGGGGCGGGGGGGGGGGCGGAGTCTGCCGCTGATGCCTCCGCCGCTGGAGAGGGCGGTATTCGCTGGTAGAGGTGCGATCATGATTCAGCTCCCACATAGCTCATTTTGTAGCTCCCTGAACAGATGGGAAGGCGCTCTCCCATTATTTTCTAAAGCGTCAGCCGACATAAAAGATACACCGGGAATCAACTTTATAGTTGGTTGAGCCCGGCATTCACACAGCCGTTTATGATGATTACGACATGAATATACTGATTCCTTTGCACTATAATAGTTTTCGAGTTAACTTTTGTCTTGGTTTGGAAGTAACACCGAATTATCTAAGTTTATTCCTGCTGAAGCAACGGCAAGTCGGTATACCCAACTAAAATGCCTCCGAGGTTTCCTACTGTTGTAAACATTGTCCAATTACAGGATAATTAAGGCAATGAGGCTGCATGTAATGCAATCTCCTATGTGTTTTATGGGCCTATTTTAGGGTCTTGTTTGCTCATTCATTTTGTGTTACAGCGGAAAGATAACATTTTGGTTGCTGTGTGCAGAAATATCGACTGTGGCGGCATGCATGATCGATTTGAGTTTAGTACCATTTTGGCTGGCCGAAGTGTGCGACTCTTTATCCAACGGCAAAAAAAAAAAACAGGCTTATGCAACACACACATGCAGCCTAGAACCGCCAGTCCCCACATCATTTGTCGTCCGTGCTGACACTGGAGCGTCCTCAGACGAGTCCCACGCGCCAGCCGCTCGTCGTCGCCACAGCGGCGTACATTTATCACTCACAAATAGCCCAGCTTTAACAAGGACGGGATGCATTCTCACCAGCACTCGGCCGCTGAATAGACCGAGATGGATGATGGTTTTATAAGCGATATTCAAAGCTCTCAGCTTCTATTAATTGCAGGCAATGAAATATCCACTCATCTCTCTCACCGTTTGTCACAAAACTGGCCTCATTGTCCAGTCTGGAGTATAGTCTGATGTTGTTTCCACCGGCAGCGGTAATTGATTTTCTATGCCTCCTGTTCACCAACACCCACTCACAGCTTGGCACCGCTGCTGTCGCTGGCACCGTTTTACACGAGCCTCGGTGTCACGGACTTACAGGATGACAGCAATCACTGGCGTCACGATGAGCGTCACACCACCACAGTGTCACAGCCACAACCGTCACGGTGTCACAGTCACGGCCACTAGCTGGCGGAGCCCGCAGTGAGGCCGGTCGTCTCGTGTGCTGCCGGTGCCGGCTGGCGGACGACTCGCCGACCCGTCCGCCGACCGGGCATCCAAAAACAACGAACGGGCCACGCGGCCGGCCCGGCTGGAGCAGCGCCAGCCGTGTCGGACGGACGTCACACCGAGTGACCCGTCACGCGCGTGACAGGTCACTGACCTGAACTGTGTGACAGGTCGCTGACCCGTTCTGCTGCGCTGGCAGGCTAAACACCACCTCCTTTATCTCTTATCGCAGCTTCAAGGACGGCAGGAATCGGGGTGTTGAAATGAAAAAGTGAGATGATAATGCGAGTCGATGGAGTAAGTATTTTTACCTATACCTTATTTTTATGACATTGTCCAATCATGAACGAAACTATGAGGACTAAACAGACAGCGTGAAACTGGCTCAAACCGACGTCTCATTAAGCAGAAATCAACCCAACTATTGAACACCAAGTCACGAAGGCAGGCAAATGCAGGTCCCCTTTTCATACAGGTGCCAGTCTGCTGGCTGCGTGAGTACCTGTCTGGTAAATGTTTATACTGAGCACATCATTTACATGCAGATTATTAACGACTGTTCCTTCAAACGTGTTATTGTACAATATACAAGACACGATATATCGCCAATGTCTTTTATCTTTGTCAGTCGTATGTCTACAGTGAAATACGATTTTATCACCCCTGTTTATATAAATAAGCACGATCTATTTGATTGGCATAGTTGACAGAAGTGCCCTCTATCAGGGGCACATGTGGGTGAGCGTGAAGTGTGTACTTCGCTGGGGGTCTCATGCCAGCAGCAGTCAGCTGAAACGGTTCAGCTGCCCTCCATGCTCGCATCATCAATTTACTAAGGCGGGGTAACATACGCGTAGGCGGTGCAGTCGGGGGCACCACTCAACGCTACCTCATTAAGTATAAACACTGATATCAGCTATAGGGTTGCGGCTGATTGATGAAGTACATCCTGCTAACTGTCGTGTTAGAGGCTGATAGACGGATTATGCGCAGATCAAAGGGACGCGACTCTTACTTTACAATTAAAAAATTGATGGGTTACCCTACTATTATTGTTAAAACTTTCAAAGGACGATGCAAAAACATACAAGCAATTGCTCAAACTTTTCCTGTGCATTTCAATTGGCTGTCAATTGGAAATATCACAGCAGTGGAATGGTCAGTAGATAAGCCGGCGTGAATAGACTGAAAATATGCTATATTAGCAGGGTAATTAATATTTCTTTGCTATGGCAGCACCGACGGCGAAGCTGTCACTGGTGACACGGAATATATGTATAGTCTACGACAGACAATATATTGTCGTTGTATATTGTCTGTCGTAGACTAGTTATATATTCCGTGCTGGTGATAAGTTAAGTACGAACACAACTGATATTACCCGAAAATTGATTGAAGAAACCGATACCAAACGCATCATGTGTGAACCCTACAAGAAACTCAGGACCAAATGACAATTTACGAAAAACAGTAATCTCATCTCTCAAAGTTGAAACAAAGGAATGATGATTTGTCCAGTTCAAAGCTGTGTTCAAAGATTTATAGTACCCATTAATTTCATCGAGGCTCCCATTCCTCTAAATTTTGGATTATGATGTTATTCCTTAGGTGAAATAAAGGTACCATATATACGTTCTACGTCTAGCGGACCCCGGGAGAACGCTGTTGAATTGAAACACACCATTCACCTGTCACCAACGCGTGAAAAACGAAAAATACACTTCGGTGAGATGCAACTTTCCCAGCCTTCGTTCAGCTTATGTCAGTAGATTTTACAATACTGCGTAAGGTTTTCGGACTTGATTTGAAATAAGCCTTTTTGCCAATGCGTTGCAAGTAAAGCAAATCAAGCGGAGCTCCTTGCTGACCTTTGCCTCATAGCAGAACGTCATCCCGGATGTGCAGTTAACCCGCGCCCCGTTGAGGTCTGGCAGGTTCCAGGTCCTGTTTTTTTTGGGGGGGGTGGAGGTCAAAGGGCGTCCCATCGTATCTCCGGAACCAATAGTCGGATCGGAAAAATTCAACCGGCATTCGAGAGAGCTCATCGAGATGCATGAGATGCAATATCGGTTGGTGCCCCAGAAAATGTTTGTGGGGCAGGGCAGTGCCGGTTGCAGCATTTGGGGAAAGTTTTTTGCAACTCTATCTCTGAAATGTATTCTGTTTGTCTATTTCTTCAGATTTAAAAAAAAAAATCTCAGAAAATGTACAGATTAAGTTAGAATGTCAAACGATCTTGATAGAATGTTAAAAGATTTTCATGTTTTGTAAATTTTGAGATAGCCATTTTGTTTGCCATGTTTTTTTTTGTATCTATGGTTCAGTTTTCTAGCCTCTAGGTTGATATCCTGATATTCTGTTTTTTTTTTTGTCGTGAACAACTTTTTAACTTTTTTCGGCCAAAAACTGCCGAACATGACCTCAGTTAAACCACTAAAACTTGTGGCCTGAAATGACCTAAAACATATTTTTTTCAGCAGTTTTTTGAAATTGATGTTTGGAGAGGTACTGAAAATTTCGAGTCGAAATTTGCAGCCGTTTCTGAGTTATCAGCGGAAAACCTTAGGGGGTAGCTCCTTGCCCTCTCCCCCCAATGGATCTCGGGTTATTGAATAAACAGGTTTATATACACCGTTCCACTGAAGTAATGCATATCCCGGATCAACACTGGTGAATGTGAATGAGCAAACGTATTGTATTGCATTTCAATTCTTACTTTCATATGAGAGGCGCATTTCATTCTGCCAACGTGTTCCGCTCTAAGCTCGCCGGCTGTCCGAGTGAATCGGCAGGTAGTGCCCCGCGGCATGGTAATTTGATGAGACATTCCATCTATGGGCGCAAAATGACCTTGTAGTCGGCGCGCCCTTAAGCCCCAATAAACAAACAAACAAGAGCCACCCCCGTTCGGTTCCACATCCGGCATCCGTCTTCGTTATCAGAAGGTACTGCAGGCGTATAAGCATAGGCGACTCGAGCTGATGACTGCCTCTGAATCGAGATGTATGATGCGGTTATTTGATAAAAGAAAGAAAAAAAGAGAAAAAAGTTGACATCTCTTCGACATGCAAATTGTGGTGAAGCCTATATATGCTTATTAATTTAAAGCTATTGCTAATATATATTTATTTTTGGATTTCGCGTCATTCAAATGTCGAGGAAAGGTCAACTGTTTCTCTATTTTATCTCTATTAGCTTCATGATGTTTCTCGCAAGAGCGCTCCAAAGAATGGTGATGCATATTTTCATTGGTTGAAAAGACTTTCATGCGGTGTATTTTTGAAGTCTATACATAAAGGAAATTATTCTTACCTAGCCGGATCCTAATATACTTCTAATATACGTTTCAAACATTTGCTATATTACATTGAGGCTAAAGAACATCGTAACATCGTATAAGTAAACAAGAGAATGCATGTAAATTATTTCGTTACAGAGCATGCATATTGCATAATGTAGCCAACAAAAATGGACATGAACATTTTGAATGTAATTGTACCAATAGTTGGAATGCCATAAATCTCGAATTCGATTTGCAAAAATAGAAACACGTTTTAATATAAGTTTGTTTTTTTTTCTGGTCAAAGCTACACACATTACTTGTGTAAACCTCGAGAAGACATGAAATTCTCAAATAAACAAAACCAACATCTAACCTCTTTTACTCACCAATCTGCTGAGCTGCGTCCCGTCGCTGCTATATCGGTCAGTGGTGCCGCGCGGGGGCCGGAGGCCGGTTCAGGCCGGGTCGCGGCGTCTCGCTGCTGGTCGGGCTCGGGCCGGGAGGAATCTGACGGCGCGGCGGGCCAGCGACAGTCACTGCAGCGCGTCCGGCCGACCCGATAGGGCGGGCGCCGCCGCCGAGCCGTGTCACCGAGCGGTGCTGGTGACCGCCGTCACCGAGCGCTATCGACGCCCTGGTCACCGCTGACCTTCGGCGGCCAGTCTGGAGCTGCAGTCTGATTCTGGACCCAGTCTGTAGTGATCCAGATGGCAGTCGGACAGATGCCAGACAAAAGCCAGTCTGCAACCAGTCTGCAGTCATTCAGTCAGTCCTTAACCACTTCTTTAGCTAGTCTGTAGTCAGTCAACAGCTAGTTAATCTGTTACCAGTCTGTAGTGAGTCAGAAGCCAGTCTACAGACAGACAGCTGTCAGTCTGTAGCCAGTCTGTAGTCGAACAGTAAAATCAGTCCAAAACTAAACAACAGCAAGTCTTGAAGTCACTTGCAGTCAGCACCCAGACAGCAGTCCAACCGAAATTCGGTCCGAAAAACAATCGATCCTCTTATACTAAAAAGCGCTTCTGATTAAACCGCAAGACCATAAATCGGAGAAGGGCCATAAATCGCGGAGTGGAAGCGCGAACCACGAGGTCAAGGGTTAGCCCAGATCTGTTTACGCGTTAACTGTTCGCATTACGCTCCAAAGAGTTTTTGCTCTAAACTGCAACTGTGACGCTAACCAGGTTGACGTTAATGCTATCGCGGAACCGGCTTGCGGTGACAGGGCCTCTGGCCCCTATCACGCAGCGCTTTTATAACTCGCCGTTCGGGTTAATTGCAAACGGCGATGTGGCTGGCATGTTTACGGTATGATTGTGCGCCGCCACGCGCCAAGTGAAGATTGAGTCCATTGTGCGTCGGGAAGGAGCAGATAATTGGGAAAAAGGTAAGAAGACTGCTGCCATTCCGACCCAGCCTCACCTAGTGGTGATAATGAACAGGACACGCCTCCAAAGATTGAGTCCGAGAAAGCTTTTAGCGAAAATCATTCAGCGTGATTTTGTCGGATCTTTGCAAATTAGCTCGCAAAGACATCGATGATATTTTCAGTCACAAACTTGCATTACAGACTAACG